ATGACACTGGGACTGTGAACCCCTATCTGCAGTCCGAACGGATTATTATACATTCTCAATACCTTGACGAAACTGGAGCAAATCTGGTCCATGTAGATTAAATGACTCAATGTTAGGGTTTAAGCTTAAACCTAAATCTAGGCTAAGCTGGGAGAATGTATCATTTTGGCATTCAGCACTGGAGATGTGTAATCTGGAATCTCTTTCATAACCAAACGTGAGACAGACATTCATCTCATGTGCAAATATTTACAGAGTCCAGATCACAAGTCATTAGAAACCTTCCAGTGCCTATCATTGATCTGTGGGATCCAGACTTAAGAGGATGTTGTTTTTGATCTACCCAGGCTGCAGTAGTCCATGCACCAGAAACAGAGTGATCACATGCCATTATGTTTATCCAAAGACAACCAGTTAAGACCATCTTTAATTATTCCCACAATCTTGTCAAATCTGGTTTACAATACTGCTTCTCAGATAAATGAGTTACACCAACTTGTGCAAAATTTGGCGCCGCAGTGCCTGGGTGTGTTGGGTGGTTGCCAGGGACTTGCTAATCTATTGCTAAAATGTTCTGACACTGCTTTTCCACCAAAATGGTGCTGGTGCCAGTTCCTGGTTAGGGTGATTTGAAAGTGAACCTGCATTTCCACAGACTTGAGAAGCAAACAATGATTTAGCAGATTACTTACCTCGTGTGACTACAAAAACAGTCTAGAAGATTTAAATTTTTAAGATATTGCTTGGAAAACTTCCTACTCTCCATTCTCGAATCCAACTGGTTCTGCCATGGCTCAGTTTTCATTCAATAGAAGTCTAAGGGATTTGGTTGCAAATTTGATTGGTCGCCAGGCAAAAAATCTAAGTCTCAGGGCTAAGCAAAGTAAGCACACCTCTCCTTAATAAGCCTCATGATTTTAACTATCATTCATGTTCGTAGCACAAACAGGGTGGAACAAAAGTTTAATACTTAGGCTTAAGGGTGTTGAAACAGTACAAGCAGTAGTAATAGCAAGACTTGCCTTAGCAAACACCACTAATTAATCACTAAAATCATATGCATCTTCCTTTATCACGCTCACTTCCTGTGGTGCTGCCGCATGAACATGCTCAGAAAATGTGTTATTTTACCCCTCATGTCAACAACCATTTTCCAGTTTATAGATCCTTTTAGAAATGTATGACATTGTTCGACTTGCTCACACAAGCATAAAAGACCAGTCTACGGCCACCTGCTTATCTCACTGACCTTCTGGGCCATTTCTGTACACAGTGGCTGAGACCACTGTTGACACTCAGACACAATGTAGTTTATGGCTGAGAGAAAGCGCTTTGCAAAAAGAGAGGACGTCAGTTCATCTCCGATTTCTGTGATCGCAAATAGAATGCTCCAGTTAATTCTGCAAATCAATCCAAATTGATGGAACGAGGAAGACAACGAATTGATTAGTTCTATTCATGAATGGTATACTGTCACTAATATTGATTGTGATTATACAACAGTATAGAGATGTGGTATTGATTATTGATATTCAATAGTGTGGTTAGTGTTAGTATCTAGTGTTGGTATCATCTCATTGAAGGTTTTCTAAAATGATTTTAACAATGGCATCACTGGTCCCATTAAAAAAAAAAAAAAAAACGTAGCAGAAGTCAATCCCAACCATGTTAACTGGTGCAGAAGTATTTGCGAAATGTGTTTGGAAGCAACCATTACCTTTTTAACTCCACTTGGTGCATCAAAACTTACACACCTTATATTGTTTGCAAGTGTTACAAAATGTTGTTTTTGATTATCAGCCAAATATTGCACTTCAATTAAGTGTCAAATAAGGCAATACATTTTCATAGCAGACGCATAAGTAATGCTATATTGCGTCTCTGAATGCAAATTTGTTGATAAAAAGATACATGCATATTACTTGTGCACAAAGTACTGCTAGGAGTATAGCAAGTCTCAACTTCAACTGACGCCAAATTCATTGCACTGCCGTTTAATTATTTTTCATTTTAACTTATGTGTGCATTTATTGTTATTTAAACATTACAAAAATTTATTCTGCAATATAATATTTTTTTTTTTTTTTAAGTTCTCTTTTTAAAGGAACCTTTAAAAAAAATCCATATTGAGCAATTTAGTAACCGTATAATATTTCTGGGTAATAATTGAATAAATTACAGATAGTAGATTGAACATCAGCTAACCATAACATTGAGTCACCTGATTCAGTGCTGACACCTCATTTATTTATCAGTGTGTTATGTACTTGGGGCCTAGGTTGTCTGTGAGGAACCACTATATCCTAGAAAGATGTAAGTGAGAAGATATTGAACAAAGAGTTAATGACCCAACTCCTAAAGCATTAGAAGAAAACAAACAGGCCTAATTTGAGCGAGAGAGCTAATGCGTAACAAAAGCAATTTCCTTTGGCCATTAGCCTGATGTCTTTAGGACTGCATTTCAGGGGGTCTTGAGGCTTTCAGTTCTTACATTACAGTGACCCTTCCCCCATCTAGACCCCCATATGTGGGTCTCTCAGGGGAGCGATTAACACAGGATAAAACAACACATCTGGTTCTATTAAGCAGAGCGCTGACCCACATCAGATGCTCAAATGCTGTCTTTCTGAAGTCCATTTGCGGGGTCACATAGGACAGTTTTGGGCTGAGACTGAGCACTTTGAGTGTGTCTTGGACAAGCCACATGAGGAAACTGAGACTGCTGGCCAGTTTCAAACACCACAAACAACCCAAAGTGTGTATTTACCCCTCAGTGCAGAGAACATTAATGAATAAGCTGAGTTTTACCAGGCTGACTCAACATATCTGACAGAGAGCTCCTCTTCTAGTTAAAGTCTAGTCAAAGTACTTTTTATGCCAAGGTGAGGGCACTTCTGTATGAACACAAACCTCTCAGTTACTTATTACTGAGCCCATTGGGTGACCTATAAAAAACGAGCTCCACCCAAGCCAAATATGTGGTTAAGGGGGCCTTCCATCACTGGAGGAGTGTGCACTGTGTGTGTGATTTCTACATTCTGACACTCTGCCAAAATCTTGCATAAAACATAATAACACTGATCAGTAAGAGGTTATTTTAATATCTCAGCTGCCTATTGCAGAGTGTTTATTTAAATGGGACAAAGAAGGGACCTGTTGGATGGCAAAAGCAGGGCAGGGCAAAAATACAGGCTAGATGTCCCCCTCAATATTCCCCCAATATTTAGTGTCCTAACAATATTTAACATGACAAAGTCCTAAGCAATAAAAGTGTCCATGTGTCCTAACAAGTCACGACAAGCAACAGACCATTTTGCTGATTACTTGGTTTTTGATTTGGGCAGTTTTAAGGAATCTCTAAGGAAATTAAACATAAAATATTTTGTCATTGTGTCATTTTTCCACGCAAAACTACTGTGCAACATTTTGTGTCACGCTTGGTTAGGACTCAACATTAAACTTTTACCCCTAGTACAGAATATTTGGTTACATCCTTGCTTGAATGTGTTTGGAAAAAAGAACAATCTACAGAAATAATATATTTTAATTTGTAATCAAGAATAATTTGAAAACCCAGACAATTCCCAGCAACTGACACACAATCAGTCTTCTTTTTCTAAGCTGGGATGGAAAGCAGTGAGGTCTGAGCAAGAATGCTTCTGAGACGCTCTGCCAAGAGAAAAGGGGGTCAGATGTGGCAAACGCATACTCAGATGGTGGGACGCTGCCTAGAACCGACCAAACCAACCAAAAGATTTCAACTCCCAAAAGCAACAACATAAAAGCCTCCTTCCAGCAGTAATTGTGAGTGAGAACTGTTTTCTGTGAGACCAGAAATTATGAGTCAGTGCTACATTTTCTCTAATATCGTGTTGAGAAAGACCTGGTCCTTTCATGGCTCCCTGTTTTCTTCACAATAATTACCATCATTATGACTACAGTCTCTCGTAAAAACTTTCAGCCTCTTATAGACCATCTTCAACTCAGGTCTTGCAAACCATTCTCACTCCTATATAATATACATCCAATGAACCCAATGAACATCCATATAAAATACTTTCTAAAAATGTGTTCACAAAACACATTAGTGTGGTATACAAGGATTTTAAAATCTTGTCGATACAAATAAGCCAATAATTATTTTCATGTTATGCTCATTAAATTGCCAATATTAAAATTCTTCAGTATTTTGTCTAAATAAATTCAAAATAAAACACTATTTAATTAAAATACTACTAAGATAAACAGTTTTTATGCCATTAGTAAATTTATGAATTACAACATTATAATGTACAGTATGAAACTGGATATTCATTATGAAGTTTGCTAACTATAACATTTAAAAATGTTATTAAATTACTTTTTATAAATTAAAAAATATATATTTTTTTTATTTTGCTTTGGATGATGGCAAAAGTTATATAAAATGTAAAAAATTTTAATTTCTAATATTTGCTAATATATATCCAATATTTATTGATACTTTTTTTTCAAAATTTTAACTGATATCATCATGCATACATGTGTAATATGGATAAGCCATGAGGGTCAACTAGTCCAACAACCAACTGATTAGTTAAAGAGGTCTCTGATTGGTGGCTGGCGGACATGACACTAAACCAGCCAGATTATACCCAGTGACCAGTCATCCAGATAACCCACCAACTAGCTGATTTTGAAAATATATATATTTTTCACATCCCTAACTGGCTGCCTTCACATAATAACTAAGTTTAAACAGGCTTGACGTAACAGAAACACTTCTATTAAGATAAAAACAATAAGGCGCCCAGCTACCCACAATTCCAGTCACATCTGCAGACAGGTTTAATCCCCACGACACCAGAATCACCACCTTGTGTCTGCAGAGACCAGCTACTGTCTGGCATCAAACACAATCACACACATGCACAACGCTTTCTTTAAAAAAAAAAAAAAGCCTACTAGTGGTCAGGAAGTACTTTTCCTGTTGCAGCCGGACATGGAGGAAGAGATCTTACCTGGTAGTAGTTTTTGATGTGTCGGATGACAGTGTTGAGGTTCTGTATTCTCAGGTTGACATCATTGTTGATTTGTTTGTTGACTCGCTGATTCATGGGGCTTGGGTCTCTGTGGACCAAGAGCAACAAGAGTACATTTGAAAATCTCACATAAGCACATTTTAATAAGGCTTGGCATGATGTTTGACTATCATTCCACAACCTAGTTAATTTGTGAGGTCGACTAGTTTGGTGAACCCAATTATGCATGATTTCCTCAAGACCAGTTGACTAGTCATTCAAACAACCCACCCCAAGACTGCGCTACAAATAATCATTATCCATCACTTTAATAAACTGAGCTGTATTATTATTAATTTTTACTTACATTTTTTAAGTAATACATATCTTGGTTCATATTTTTTTATCTGATTAACATTACAGAAAGTTGTGTGTTGAGTTTCTTGGCTTTCTTTTTTTCTTTTATTCAATACATCATGACTTATTCCACTTGGCTACACTTGGAATCACTCATTCCTCTTTCCAAATCCAACGTTAAAACTGTATTTTTTGTCCATTTATTCTAATATTCAAATCCATATTTGCATCCTTATGTCTAGGAATGTTTCTAAAGTTGTTATCTGCCAAAAAAACTAAAAGCATTTTGAATGATCTGTCATTAATGCTGAAAACTTTATTTATAAGATACATAGTTTTGCACATAAATAATTTTACAATTTGAATGCACAGTGACCTGATCTTCAAATGTTGTGTATATAAAACCTACCTCAAAAACATTGCATTACTTTACATATAGATTTTTTTCTTGCATTACAAACAAATCTTTGTTCAGAATAAACTATATACATTACATCAACAAAAAATTTCAAGTTATTTTGACAAGTAATTAGGCTATCATATCACTGGATGTAAAGGTTGAAGCCACTGAGTGGGTCCTGGTCTTAGGCCAACAATTCACTAAAAAATTTTTTTTTATTGGTCTTATGGAGTATTCTAATTTGTTGAGATAGTGAGTTGGTGGGTTTTTGTTAAATGTGAGCCAAAATCATCACAATTAAAAGAACCAAAGACTTAAACTACTTCAGTCTGTGTGCACTGAATTTATTTAATACACGAGTTTCACAATTTGAGTTGAATTACTGAAATAAATGAACTTTTCCACGACATTCTAATTTATTGAGATGCACCTGTAATTAGTCTGGTTTTAGGTTCACTTGACCCCAATCGAATGCTTTTCAAATTGTGATCAATCTTTTCTTCCCTATTACGACGCATATGCAAGTGAAATGGTTTCTCAAAATTAGAAAAAAAGGTTAACTGTTGCAATCTCATATAAATAACAGGTTGCTGGAGGTGAGGGATTATTGGCCAGTCCTTGCACCGATAGACAAATCATCAAAAGATGTTGTTGTGACGGGACATTAATGTATACTTAAAAAAAAAAAAAAAAAAGGAACTGCCCAGCCAATTATGATGTCAAGTGCCAGCAGATTTATTTTGACCATAGAGAATAACAGAATGTTTTTGTCCTTTAGAATCCCATGGTGCTAAAACTTTTTTAAACCATTTGCCATTAGCTGGTCCT